GAAAAAACAAGGGTTTTTCTGGGAAGGGTTTCTGGGACTGGGAAGGTTTCCTACCATGGCCAGGCTGTGCCAGGCCTGCCCTCTAGCGTTGTTGCTGTAGCCACGTGCTGGCTGTTGAGTGCTCAGAAGAGGGAGGATACAAGGCTTTGAGAAAAGCTGTCTGCCTTTGACCCTAGTGAGCTGGGGAGGCAGGAGGGCAGCCCTGCCTGCCTGCAGGGGCTCAGCTTCCTCTGGTCCTGTCGAACCAGCTCTTACCTGCTTTATCCACCCCTGAGAGGTTTGTGACTCTGCTCAGATTTGTGACTTGAATTGCTGTTCTGCTTCAGTAAAATGCCTGATAGAAGAGCCATAGCTAGAGAGAAAACTTGAGACTTGCCTGTGCTGCCATGGAGGGAGGGAGACATCTTTCCAGGCAGGATATCTCCATCTTGCAGTTCTGACTAACATGGAGCTCGGAATGTCTCCTTTCCCAGTCTCGGGGTTGTGCTGCATCTGGTGCTTACTCTCCAAGGCCCAGGGAAACCCCCCTCATCACATCTTTCTGTGATAGTGTTTGGAAGTTTCTCCCCTCCATGCTGCTGCCCTCACATCTGTTCCCTGTTCTTCTGGAGGTCTCTTTTGCACTTGACTGGAGGGCTTTGCCCTGAGGGCTGCTGCAAACCATGATTTGCCCCAAGGCAGCACACAGGCTCTTGAGCCTGGAACAGACTCCAGCTGTACTGGGAACACTGGTGCCCTGGTTGTTGAGGGCCACACAGGAGCACACAGGCTTGGCTACAAGAATATTTGCAGCTCATGGAGATGTTGACTCCCTTCCTAGTTCTGTAAACTGGCTAAAGCAGGTAAATCCTGGCACTGTTTTTCCTCCCAATATTAACACTACAATATACAGCTGTTGCTTCCCCTTTGGTACCTGAGACTAACCCCTGGCTGCTGGTCTTTCCCTGGCAGGCAGGGAACTGGCTGGGACCCCCCAGCTCTGTGGCCTGCTGCTCTACCTTGTCTTCCTTAGAGGTCAGCATAACCAGAGCACACACCCTGTGCCTCTGAGCAATACCCTGCTCCCTGCTGTGGGGCTGGCAGGAGAGCAGAGGGGGGCACAGCCAGCCCCTGAGCTCTGGGGACAGAGGATGCTGGAGGGGGGCAGCTGAAGGTGTTCAGAGGCCTGGGCCCTGTTCCTACAGCTGGAGAGCAATGTTTAGATGCCATGCTGCCCCAGGGTGGTGGGGGAGCACAGGGCTGCTCTCCTGTGACCCAGCAGTACCTCCCCTCCCTGGCTCTGCTCAACGAGCTGAGCTGGGCTCTGCCTTCTCTCTTCTGGGCCCTGCAGAGCTGCCTGGCATGGGGAGAACAAGCTGCATCTTTCTGTCTCAGTAAATTCACCAAATGTCAGCTCCAGATCTGTTACCTGAGAAACCAGCTTTATCTTTCTGATGCCAGGGTCACCCAGCAGGTGAGACAGTCTCCTGTGTGGCTGAGCTGGAGTCAGAGGCAGCACCAAGCTGCTCACAGCTATCCCTGCAGAGCAACCTTCCCCCTCACTCCCCAAACCTGAGCTCTTGCCCTGTGCCACTAACTGTTGTAGGTGATAAGAGGCAGCAGATACCAGGGCTTCCTCTTGGCCACACCTTCTTCCAGAGGAGGCACCTCCAAGATTTTTCCTCTCTGGGTGGTCACAAATGTTCATTTTTCCTTAACCCTCCTTCACCTGCTAGACTTGGAGGGAGCCAAGGGGTATGAACAGAGCCTTTTGGACAGGGGTATCCAAGGGTCAGGGTGCACAGCTTCAGGAAGACATTTCCTACATCAAGAGGTTTATAAATGGTGTATATTTTATATTAAATTTTTTGGGATGTATGTAAAAATATTTGATTTGTATTAAAAAGTTGTAAATTGTATTAAAAAAAAGAAACAAACCCTGACCCACAGGCATCCAGTGTATGAACAGCAATAAATGATTGTCTTGGGTAACACACATGGTGAGAGTGGGAGGGAATTTGCACCCAGAAAAATAAGGTGAAAACCTGTACAGCTGCTCATGTCCCAGGGTCTGAATTACCTGTTACACAGCCTGGGAGCTTGATGCTCCTGGAGAACCCATCCTGGCATTTATTCCCCCTTTCTGCTCAGCTTTGGGACAATCTGTCCAGCTGTGAATGTCTCCTACAAAATACGTCTGCTTACCTCATGGTGGCCTGGCACAGCACACGTGGTTGTTCCCAGGTACCACATCAGCCATGTGAAGCCCTCTGGAAGAAACGTCAGGAGAGAGCTGGAGCAAAGCAGGATGGAGATAAGGAGGCCTGGGCCCAAAGCAGGACCTGGTGTCTCTGAGGCTGGAGGAGAACTTTTCCTGGCAGGGGTATCTCAGGCTTCAGGTGTGCCCAAAGCTGGGCAGAAGGGCAGTGGAAGGTCTTACTGGTTCCCCAGCACTAACCACATTACTGCCATGGTGGTGAAGACTAAAACTGAAACTAACCTCTCTGGAGGTGACAGTGAGACTGTCAGCAGGATAGGTCACCTGAGAAAACCCAGATCTTCAGCACTTGAGGGGCAGGATGAAGCTGATCCTCAATGAACTTCAGAGCAAGAGACACGCTTGTGCGGTTTGACACGAAGGACACCACTAGGCAAAACTATCAAAAGGGTAAAATATGCCCCACTGTTTAATAGAATTTAGTCTTAATGGGTGTTAGTGGAAAACAAAACACATGATTAACACAAACAGAGCAGATGGTTTAAAATCTGTTGTCAGTCTGGTGATTACATGGGCTATTTTTTCCCCTCACCGTCTTGCTGCACGGAGCAGGTGCAGCCGGGGTCAGTTAGTCCCAGTTGCAGTGTCCATAACTTACACACCATACAGTAGCTTCAAAATATAGATCTAGAGCTTAAAAAATAGGCATTCTTCTGCAAAATCAATGTTTAATTCCCTTATTGACAATGAGAGCAGCGTGGTGCTGCCCTCAGGTGGCTCAGACAGCGACAGCTCCACCCCAGTATCCTCTTATCCCTGACCCTAGAGTACAAGACTTGCAGTTCTGGTTAGTAAATATATATAATAAATCACATTTAAAATATATACATTGGCCTTTAAAAAACAAAACAACAAAAACATTTACAGTTTATCAACATTGGAAAAAAAAAATAGCTGGGCTCATCCCAGGTTGACTTGTGAGAATAAAAATCATTTTTTAAAAGGTTTCTGCAAACCTTTTGATAAAGTGCCACTGGTTGTAGCTACTTGAAAACAATCGGGTCCACGACGTGGCACTTGCCTGTCAGACACGTCACACACACTCCATGTGATGGATAAATCAGAACCACCTGCTTGCCAGGAGAGAAGTGTCTTCAACCACCTCAAACTGCTGTTAAGTCCCAGCCCACAATATATGATTTGTTACTTTTTGGGGGCTTTTTTTGTCTTTGCTTTTCAGCCTAGAAGGCAGGCAGGCACCTCCCACCTGGACAGCCCATGGCACAAGTGTCCCTGGTGAGCAGAGACCAAGGGATGGTCCAGGTGGGCTCTGCTCCCCTCTCCATGCAAGGGAACAAGGAGCTACAAACTGTCCGATTCCATCATGAACTCCTAGAAAGATTGGGAAGCAACTGCCTCTTCAGCCTCCTTCTCCCTTTCCAGTTGGGTTTTCTGTTGGTGATTTTTTTTTAAGAGGGGGGGGGAAATACGTGGATTATTTATTTTTTTTCCTCTGTTTGGAATTTTTGTAGCAAATGGCACTTGAGTACAATCTTCAGTTCCCTTCTGGTGCTCCCGATGCTTTCATTTGCTCGGCACGCTGAGCGCACGCCAAGTTTCGGGGCTCTTGGACATATTTAGACATGCACTCCTGAAACAGATCCCGCTCGAGAAATCTGTCTTCGAGCTGTGCAGCCCTTCCTCGCCCGCCGGGATGCGATGAGCTGCTGTTCCCTGTTGCGGCCACGGGGCTGGGAGCGCGTCCAGCCTGCGGGCCCGGGAGCTGCAGCCCCCGGGGCGGGCAGGGTCGTTCAGTGCCCCGAGGAACCAGCACAGAGCCCCAAACGCTGCTGCTGCACAACGCTCAGGGGGGCTTTGCGCCAGCAGATCCCTGCGGGGACGGGGAAAAGGGACCATTTTCTCCCCCTCCACAAAAAAAAGGATAGGGGAGAAGAATAAAAAAGGGGGGGAAAGAAGGGAACAAAGCACAGAGCAGCGGGGGGCCGGGGCCGGCAGCCTCCGTGGGGCGGGGGGCTCTGGCACAAACCGCACAGGCCTTTGGCGCTGCCATCATCATCCTCATGGCTCCAGGGAAAGGGGAGGTGACCTCCCGGTCTGCGGAGCATCCGCTGCTTCCCGGGCTGTGCCAGGCCCGTCTCCAGGGGCTTGTGGGTCCCACCGGGGGGATTTCGATCCGCTCGGATTACACGCTGCCTGACGCTGATACGTTTGGAAAAGCAACAAACAAAGCAGGAAGGTTCCTCCTCGCTCTGCAAGCTGCCAAATCGCGACATGCCCTGTCTTCTTTTAGCTGCCGTCAGGCCTTGCCGGGGCTGGGATCTGCTCAGTAAAGAGCCAGCTCGGTGGCGGCTGCCCGGGGAGGTCTCTCCTTTGACACATTGTTGGCAGGGGATAAATAGTAAGAGGCAGGACTCAGCAATGCAGTGGGGAAAGAGAAAGGTCCCTTGTGGAGGCTCCTCGGCTCTGTGCAAGGGAGCGAGGGCTTCTCTGTGGCCTCCAGGACAGTATGTGCAGCCCCTCTGGGCTCCCCTCCTGCTGCCAGTCTGGTGGGAAATGTCTGACCCCCTCAGAAACCAGCCCGTGGCCACACAGGGATGTGTGATACAGAGCCAGGGGTGATCCAGGAGGGGCAGCTGAGTTACCAGCCACAGTGCAAAAGTGTGGGGAGGGAGGTGGCTGGAGGGACCTGGAGACATCACTCGGTGCTGGATCCACTCTCCCTCCATCATGAGGGGCCGTGTCAGAGCAATTGGAAGCAGGGAGGGGAAGGAGGGAGCAAGTTTCAGTCCAGCATCGCGTCCAGCTGGTCAGCCAGGTCGTCGAACATGTTGCTGATGTCTTCCAGGATGTTCTTGGCCGAGTGCACGGCCCCGGGGGGGCTGGGGAGGAAAGGAAGAGTCAAAACACTGCCCAGAGGCTTCAGGTACCGATGGGGTAGTTGGCCAGGCTGGACCCAACCCTGCTGGTGGCAGCCAGAGCTCAGCACACAGCTGGACTCCAGCACGTGTGACCTGGAGTGGCAGAGACACGTGCCTGTGCCCAGCCCTTCACCTCCCTTCACTGGAGGCTTCCTGATTCCACCTCGAGGGGCCCAACCCCGGCACTTCCCTTGCCCCTGGGCTGCCTCACCTCTCCACCTCCTCCGCCGTGATCCTCTTCTCGGCCGCCTGCAGCGTGGCAGCCAGGGTGGAGTTGGTCTGTTCCAGCCGCTGCTGGGCCAGGGCAGCCCCCGGGGCAGCTGCCACAGGCTTTGCTGTCACCTTGCTGCCAGGACCCGCCAGCGACCCAATCACATCTGGCACTGCCTCAGGAGCTGCCCAGGGAGCCATGGTGTGGTGGGAGGGTGCCAGGACCTGCTGGTAGATGGTCTTAGGCCCCGAGAAGACTAGTTTGGTGGATGCCACGGAGGTGTGCTTGGCAGGGACATCTGCAAAGGAAGGGAACTTGTGGCACATGTCCTCCTCTCCTCCCGCACCAAACCAGCCAGGCAGGAGAGAACCTCAGGCTTCACCACTGCCTTGCAGACCCCAAAAAAACACATACCTGGTGCAGGTGTCCTCACCACAGCAGTGCTGAGCAGCTCCACAGGGCTGGGGGCTTTGGTGGGGCTCGGGGCCTTCTTGATCCCCTTCTCCAGCGATAAGATGCTTTTCTCTATCTCAGCAATCCTGAACTCCACCTTATCATCATCAAAGGCATCCCCGGCCAGCCCGGCCCGCGGTGCTGGTGCTGGCACAGGGGGTCCGGCGATGCTCACAGCTTGGGCCTGGGCGTACTGGGGTGCAGGGCTGGCCCCCCCCTCGGCCTGCCCTGCCAGGCTGAACGCCTTCAGCACCGCCTGCAGCGGCTCCCGCTCCTTGAAGCGGGGCCGGCGCTTCACCGTGTCTGACTCCGTGAGGTTGAACTCCAGCACAGGCGGCTCCTTGGCAGCACTGGGAGCTGCCGGCTCCTTCCCGCTGGAGCAGGGAGGCTCTGCCAGCTGAGAACCAGGCTCTGTCTCTGGCACAGCCACCTCAGCCTTGGGGTGCCCGGTGGGCTTTGGCCGCTGTTTGATGGTTAAGTTGCCTTCTTCTGCAAAGGGGATGCACTCACTGGAGCTGTTCTGGGAGGATGAGGAGGAGACTCCTGGCTTAGCCTCCTCCTCTGTGTCCGAGCAGGCGTCCTCCCGTTCACCCTGTGCAGCCACCTCTGTCATGGGAGCACTGGGCTCGCTGAATGTCCGTCTCCGTGGCTTGCTGCTCTCAAAGGGGTCCCTGCAGGCATCAGAAAGCGTGGTGCAGCTGGTGTCACCAGTGTGACAGGTCTCATTGTCCACCTCTGCCCTAGGGAGACAGTCCTGAGCCACAATCAATGGTTTTGGGGCCAGGAGGGGCTTGGGTGGGCTCACCCCCGGTGTCCCCTCCAGCG